CTAGCCAGTTGTATTCTGGCATTTGGAGTGTACTATTTGTGATACTGCAGATAGCAGTAATCGTAAATCTGTAATTTGGGTGATTGTAAGTGCGAATGCGAAATAAAATTCGCTATATAAACTACGGCGTGAAGTTATTTGTCGTGATATACGCCCAATACGCGACAATATTTATGGATTATAATAATGCAGTCTGTTCGAAACAATTTCACCCACTCACAACCAAACAACATAGCCAGAAAGTACACCTTTTGACAAATTTGACCAAATACATAAATTTCAGACATGATATACAGAATTTCTTCATAATTTTCACATCATGTTTGCAACTCAAAAGTCTTATTATATACTGATGCTTCCTTATTTTACTTTTGAAGGTTTTTATTATAAGTTAATTCTGCACATTAGCAATCTACTGACCATTTGTAGTGATCTTATTTATTTACTTCTGGTTTCTTAATTGATTCTATAAGTATCCGACCCTGTGTAATGCCAAATGGTAAGAAAATATTGAATAATGAACTGGAAAGGATCTGAGAGAAGCAGTAATTTAAGACAGTATCTTAGCATATGACTAAAGGGACTGGGGTCAGCAGTGCCCTATGCCTAGATGCCGGTCCCCATACTTCTCAGTGCTCTGACATTTTTCACTGCAGCTTCTTCTTTAGGGACTTCCTGGTGCACCACTATGGCCTCTGACTTTTCTTCCCCAAATCTATGGGGTCCATTTTGTTCAACCTTTCTTTGAAGACATCCACCACAGCCTCAACTTCTTCCAGGCAGGCATTCGCCTTCCATGTGTTGGCCTTTGCCTTTTCTAGACAGGCCACCGTTGCTTCTTGGTAGGCCATCATCTCTTTTCACCAGGCCACTGTTTCTTCTAACCAGGCATCCATCTTTTCTTGGATGGTTTTTATTTAACCCCTATTTTGGCTTGGTTATTATGAATCACAGCTCCAAGGCCTCCTATGGCGGCTACCAGATGTTCAAAATCGGCCATAATTATCTGTCTCCTGCGTTCAACTGACAGTACACAATTCACAACTAAATCCAATTCATCAAACAATATAATTCAATCTCACTTCTGACACCAGATGTCACGTACATGAGTGACTTTCAATGGGGTTTTGGATAATTGAATTCACTAACCTCTTACTGATCGTAATTAAAGTGATTATAACAGTCTCAATGAAGTACACACTCCAAAATCATTGTAACTACAGCACACATAAAGTCCTCTCAGTCTTCATTAGTTTTTTCCTGTTTTAACATGGTCCACTTATGTCCTCACCGTCTGGTACATATCCCACAACTCTATAACTGAACTCAGTCTTCACTTTATCCCACTTACAACTCCTCGGCACAGATCATCACAGAAAACAGCGTTTCCAACAGTCTGCTATTGCTGTGTGTTGATTCGCTGCTGTGGAGACATGTTTGTTTCATTCATTCATTTTATTTAGCATTCATAATTGCTACAACAGTAACACTTGAACAAGTCACATCATTAAATACATCATTCTTGAAATCCTTTTGCCCAAATGCCTAAGGATTAGAATTTGTCAACAATAAATAATCACTCTTGACATGGTTAACCTATAATTAAAATATAACACGCACTATCAAACCAGATAAATAATCAAATTAGATATAATATGTAAATCGAAACACAAGCCAACCTTATGAGTTTATCGAGAGAATTTTAAGAGTATTACAGTAATTCAAGAGTCCTACATACGACCATGTAAATCACCGATCACATTCAGATACTATACGCAACCATTTGTTATCTATTTCAATTGCTAAATAGAGGTTTTGCTATGCTTACTACTGTCCCTCTAAGAGAAACTCATAGAATGTATAGAATGGATGACCTAGTAAAAACAGTTTTAGCTTATGTTTAAAGGCTTTACATCCACCTGATTTTCTTAATTCCAAAGGCAGTCTATTATACAATTTAATACCCATCACTATCTAGTAACGGTTCAGGTGTATTTGCCTATCTCACATTTGTTGCCTAGTAATGGCTCTACATGCTATAATATACTGAAATGTAGGAAGAATAATATGGCATTCACAATGGAATTAGGAGAATAAATTCATAAAATTTTTGTTACTTAACTGCGAAACTATTATTTCCGCACATACTTTTAAATACACTGCAGATTAATACACATACAATATTCATTCTACTGACTGTTTGGTACCATTTGTGATAAGCAAAATATTACTGCGAAAGAACATGGACTCATAAGCATTTTCATATAAAATGCTAAAAGAAATATTTGAAACTATGAGGGATGACTTAAATTAAAATATTAATACAATTAAATGAGGGGCTTCATGACTTAACAGCCTAGATTTATTATATTCAAACAGAGTTTGCAATAATGGATTGTACCTATTGCTTGAACAAAAAGAAATACCACATTTGGTGGGTAAATTCCTTAAAGTTAGAAAGACTGAGTGAATAATATGTCCCATATTAAAATTCATTTCTGGGTAGTAAATTCTGATAATGTGAATAAGAATGCACTGTCCAATGATTTCAACCAATGGCATGCATTGGAATTAACATTACTGAACCTTTAAGTGCTACCAGCAAAGTTTGTTACTTAGTTGACTGGAAAAACTTCTTTTTAACTGCTGTTGCTCCAAGTTCTACATTAAATAATTCCCAGCCTCCTTTCCTACTCTCTATTAACAAATGACCTTACTCAAAGAAACCAAGCATTACTTCCACTTTAACATTACTGAATCTTTAAGTGTTACCAGCAAAGTTTGTTACTTAGTTGACTGGAAAAACTTCTTTTTAACTGCTGTTGC